GGGTCAGACTTGATGATCCGCTCAGGTCCCTTCCGACCCTACCAGCTATGTAACTATGAATAGAGAAAGTATATCATAAATTGTTAAATAATGTCTTAAGATCTATTTAAGTGTTCAACTCTCATTTTCATATAGAGATGATACTTCAATTGACATTGTTTGGGATGGCAAAAGATTTGATACTGAGTGAAAGTAGGTACTATTAAAACTGCTTGTAACTTGTAAACTGATGAACAGATTAATCTGTAAGGTCTCAAACTTCATAAACCATTCAGAGTAATTGTTTTTTTGGGGAAGGACGTGCTGTTTTCTTTATCTAACAGTGCGGTTGAATCCTTGCTTTTGAAGTATGACATTCAGCCTCAATTATGGAGACTCAGTTTTTGGTGTCTTCATGATATGTATTTTAGGTTTGTAAGTAGAAGAGACAGACAAATTTGTTTAATTTCTTAATTTTGGAACTACATGTTGGCTGAGGAAATTTTTTTTTAATATTTAAATCTCAATTGTTTTTATGCGTGTCACATGGGAATGTGCCACAGTTCCAGAATAGTTTGTTGTCTTCGGCAGAATACCATTGCTTTGGTGAAATTCACAGAATTGGAAGGGGGAAATGCAAGGTACAAGAAGTCATTGAATCATAGAAACTCCCTGTCTCTTGTTTGCCAGACCCAGGATCATCTCTTATGGTCTATAGGCCAAACAACCAGTATTTTCCAGTGTAACACCAACCTATCTCTCAGCTCTGCTCATTTTCCCAATAATGTGGAATGTTGACACTATAGATGATTTACCTCCCAGGCAGAAGGAAAAGAAATAGTACTGGTGGTAGCAAGGAAGTGAGAATGGGACACCCACATAGGGTCCCTGATCTTGGAGGAATTGTTTCCCTGCATTCAGAGGGGAGGGAATGAAGGCATACAAGGAGTTTGTAGCGGGGGAATAAAAGGATGCCCATATTCTGCAGTGAGCTTAGCCTACACAAGTAAGTATAGAATTTTACCTGGGAAAAATCTTTTGGTATTAATCTTTCTGAAGGCAGAGCTTGTTTTGTAGTAAAAGTCTCTTCTGCTTGGAAAACTTCGAACAAGCTTTGTTAATGCTGGTCTCTGGGAGTGGAATTGGACAACTAATTTGAATGGAATATGTCGTTCTGGCTTAAATCCATTTCTGAAGCAGTTCTATAAAATCAATATGAAAATATTTTGGGAAATTGGAGATGATAAACTGTATCTTAGTGACTTTATTTAAAATGTGTTGTGTAGGGTGTGAAAGCAGGGAGGTGACAGAATGAGAAATTTAGGTATATAAATAACTGTTAACCCCTTGCAGAATAGATGCTTTTAAAACAAGGCTTCTATCACTATTATGTTCAGAGTACTATGCTATTTAAAAAAATAGGTCAGTAAGCTATTTTAGGAAGTCTTCTTATTCCAATGAAAGTGGTGATTAAGCTTGAAATTTTATTTTCTATTTAAAGCAATTAGTTTTAAAATATGTAATTCTTCAAGTCAATTTATTTTTCCAGTTTGATATTTAGAGTAAATAGTCAATTTCAAGGGTCATTATCAACTTGAAATGTAATCATTTAAAAAAATTAAAAGTAGTTTTACCTACTGTATTTGCCCCCAAGCTCCCTTGCCTGGTATAGTAGCTTTATAAAAACTATTTTTGAGAATTAGAATGCTGCAGAAAATTGTCTTTTAAATGAATTAAAACTCCAACTGGAACACAGCCTTCTGAATTGGGTTATTTTGGAAATATTAAAATACCTTCTTTTTTTTTTTTTAGGGACCCTGTATATCAAATGCTTAATCATGACTGTTTGTTTCTCTTTATTTTTAAGACGAGCAAAAATCAAATTAAAGTAGATCTTGTAGATGAGAATTTTACAGAATTAAGAGGAGAAATAGCAGGACCTCCGGACACCCCATATGAAGGCAAGTAATGTTCTTTTTGTGTATGAAATTGTGAACTTCAAATTATGCCTCTTGATGTTTTGTTATAAAATTAATTTACAAAATCAAAAGCAGTATAGAGCTTCATGTTATGAAATGAGACCTCTTATGCTACTTCAAAATTTACAAAATTGATAATGTTTTGCTCTGGTTTATATATGGTCAAATGAAAAATAGTGCTTGTTCTGTAGCAGAACAGATATTAACACATACCTGTAAGGGTTTATTTTGCAGTTTTGTCTGTGCAACAGAATTGTAAAGGTGTATGGTATTACTTAATGAAGATACCTGTTTGCAATGATCTCTCTTTCTTGAAAGAGAATGTTTACTATGGGCACTGAAAAACTAGACTAGAGGATGTTGAATAATTGTCCAGCATGAATTGCTAGAAGCTGGTATGGGAGTTTTAAAATATGTATTATGATTTTTTTCTTTAATTGTAGAGAGGTGAAATTTGGAAGTTAATCAGATTTCTGTGGTTCCCATAATTCATTTGTGGGGGTGGGGATTCTAGTGTTACTGGGCATCTACTGTTACCCTGAAGAATCATATCGGCTAATTTCTAGCTTGTCTATCTCTAATACCAACTGTAATCAAGCATACTGTTTATCAGACCAGAAGAGGAAAGTGATTTAATTCTATCTACAGCTTACTTAGTGTATTTAACCTAGAGATCCTAAATTATTTGGCTCTAAGTTGTTCAACTTTTGTAACATTAAGTGGATATATAATGCAGCTGAATCTGGCAGTGACACTGATTTAATTAAAATTGCTTGACACGTTCCATTGTAAGACCTTTCCATTGAATTTCCAGATGCATATAACTTTTTAAATTTTGGGCTGAAATTTTCAGTGCCTGTCTTAGTGTTTCCCTTGAAAGTTCAGCCTTCAGCAAAAAGTCAACCATTTCACAGCATGGTAGGGCAAGGGTAGGCACCCCCTGGCATGTGTGCCAGAGCATGACGCATGAAGGCATTTTGCTTGGCACTTGGGCCAGGACTGCACTGCCACAACAAGGATCAGGCCCCTTGCAGCTCCCCTGCTGTCTGGGATGCCAGTATTTTACAAGTCAAGGTTGTGTGTGTTTTAGGCACTCGACCCAAAAATATTGCTGACCCCTGTGCTAGGGATATATTGCTTTGTCTGTGTTTGGGTTTTTTGTGAGGTGCTTTTTAAAAAAAAAAAATTAAAGCATCTTTAAGAAACTAGCTCCTCTGAGCTTTGGAGCAAGGACTTCAAGTTCAGTAAAGGTCCCACCACCGATCAGTTGTCTTTGTCATCCCTTTGAAAATTTTCCTAAAGTTATTGGAGGGGAATTGCTGAAAACAGCTATTTTACTTGCTCAGAAGTTTGCTAGAGGTGGTAACATTTAAAAAAAATCTCAGAATACTCCATCTCCGCTGAGCAGGATTTATGATCACTTCCCTTGGCAACGGACTGAGACCAGGGAGACTCTGCAGTGCTCTTAATGCTTCCCTTGCTGTTGCCCAGGAAGCGAGGAGGGGGAGGAAGCAACCTGACTTGGAGAAAAAAGTTTAAGAACTAGTTGGAATATGGGAGGAGATGGGCAAATGGGGTCTTCAACTGCTAGTAACACTCCCCTTCAGATCTTGAATGCCAGCATTTCTTTGGTGTCCCTCAGATAGCTGCAAACCTTACTTCCAGCAAAATGTCTTCTCCCTGTAGTGTTTGACTCGGAGAGAGTAATAATCTGTGCTGCTGACGCTTGTGAACTCAGTTGGTAAGAGTCTTGTACTGTGACCTAAGAGAACCATCCTGTCAGTAACAGGGGTTCAGTATCATTCCACTGATGGGAATTATTTTGAAAAATGTAGAATTTTTGTATATAACCTAAATACAACTTAAACTTGGCTATAACTTGTAAAGATATTAAGGTTGCAAAGTCAAGCACTTAGAGGTTATGAAATGCTAGAATTAAGGTTGCTGTTACAACCTTAATTCATCTTCCTGTGTGTGTGTATTTTCTTCAGTTGCATGACCTGCTTTTATTCTGTCGGGTCAGTGCTACTTCAGTTCATAAAACTGGTGGTGTACAGAGGATGGAGAAGGTAGGGTAGGGTGGCACCTTGCACATGAAGCCACTTTGCTCAGCACCTCCACAGCTCTGGGCAGGCCCCTGCTGCCCTCCATGGAGCCTGTGCCGCTCACTGTAGTGGCTAGCAGCATGGGCTCTGTGGTGGGTAGCAGGCAGCAAGCAGCGTGGGCTCCGTGGCAGGAGGCATGAGCCCTCCAAGAGCCCGGGCTGCTTAGAGCAGGTAGCCATGAGGCTGCAAGTTGCTACATTGGAGTCTGGAGCCCTGGCCCAGCTCGTTGCTGGTGGAAGCTGCCATCTGCACGGAGAT